TTATCCGGACAAGTGCGACGCAGACGTGAACGGTGGGCGAGTTGCCTTCGAAGGAAAATATACGGTGGCTTGTTTCAGTATCGTCGTATTGTACAGCACTCGGGGAGCTTAAAACCCAATTTTGGTGGTCATTGCGTCAATCGGGATACAAAGCGCCAATATGAAATATCGATACAGTATCAAGTGTGTATCAACTTCTTGCGAGTCCATTCTAGCACGCTGTATCGACGCAATGACCACCAAAATTGGGTTTTAAGCTCCCCGCGTGCTGTACAATACGACGATACTGAAACAAGCCACCTTATATTTTTCTTCGAAGTCGGCCAAACTCGCCCACCATTCAGGTCTGCGGTCACGCCAGCCGTAGCGTAGCGGTGCATGGTCAAAATCTAGAAAATTGTTTTTGGAGAATGCTGGGATTATTTTCAACGGCCCACAAGTCGCTAGTGTTGGAGAGATATTGAACGTGCTGATTTGCGGCATCGTTGGGCACTGGGTGATTTTTCAACGAATTGATTTGAATAAAATGGCATTTTCGATACCACGCCCTATGCGCGGAGCCAGAACGCTGGGACCCTTTATTCTCATAGACCGAAACAAGAGACTTCATTAAAGTTCAAAAGTCGATCCACCATGCTCACCCAGCCAGCGTCTTGGCCTATTGATCGGATAATTGTGTCCGGATAAATTCGGCATCGCATCAGAGGACAATACAAAATAGACAAAAGAGCTTGCAGGTCTTGTTCTTGTGTGCATTTCTTGTACCAGAAATATGATGGCGTGTATTAGCTAAACCCAGAGCACTGTACAATGCCTTTTTCATCGACGTAGGCATCGATGGACGCGGGTCGGACACGGGTCAGCGACGCAATGCGTGCAAGCGACGCGGTGCGAGGACCTGGCGGCTCTAGATGCGCGATGCGACAGACGTACGCAAACGCTGCCGCCGGCACTTGGCTCTCGACGTACCCGAGCATTCTAGGTGGTGCTTGGCCCTGCGGAAACGCTGCCTCGACTGCCACGCGAGTCGACGGCTGTAACTCCAGCATCGTCCGCTGCTGTGCGAATCCATCGTCAATGAGAGTTGTCGCGGCGGTGAGGAGTTCGTGTCGCTGGCGTTGCCGATCGAGTACGGCCGCCACTTGCACCGGCGTCAAGAGTACGGTTTCGGTCGAAACCACCATGTCCTTGTCGGCGGGTGTGACGCGTGTGCTGAAGGACGCGCGGCGCGTCATGCTCTCTCCATGGTGGCTGCTGTGTATATTGGCAAGTATGGTGTCGATTTGTGCTGCGACAAGAGGCGGGACTGACATATCTTGCAGCGAGAGCAGAGCCGAGACCATGGGCAGAGAGAGGTACGTTACCGGCTGTGGCGTTGACATCGCGACCAGCGTAGACATAACCGTGGACAGCACTTGGGTCACCGAGCTCAAAAACTCAACATCGAACACTCGCTGCACGAGCGCTTCCGAGACCAAGACCAGCGTCATCTTATCGGCCATCGCTGACGCCACCCACGTCGCTTCTTGTGTGACGACAAACGAAACGAGAGTCCGGGCGGCGGCGACAGCGCGACTGTGCACGGGCACGGCCACGAGGGTGACGGCCATTTGGAAAAAGGTCTCTTTGCGAACTTGAATCGCACCGGCATCGTACATTTCCTGGAGCGTTTTGGCCGCAATCCGTCGCGCGTGATAGCAGGGAGCGTACAGCAGGCCGATGAGCTTTTTGACGCCGTTTTCGAAGCACTGGTGCACCACCGGAGCATCCGCTATGCGGTTCGTGGCGCACATTGTGTGGTCCATGTCGGTCGCCTTCTCGACAAGCCGAACAAGCGCCGAGTCCATCGTTGCGAGCGATGGTACGTGGCGGCGCTGCCAAAACCCTTTCTTGACCAAAGTTGCAGGATGTGTCATGCTGGCCTTTGCCGAGTGGGACGAGCAGTCGCGCGGCTCGGGGGCCCAGCGCCCGAGGGGCCAGAGCGGGTCGGAAGTCGATTCGAGAATCTGGTCACTCAGGTCAAAGTTGCGATACCAGAGAAACCACATGGCTTGACACGCGTAGGCGATGGCGTACGCCGTCTCGTGGTGCATGGCAAAAATGAGTGTATCGTTGAGCCCGACGACAATGGCTTGGATCTCAGTGTCGCAGCGCGCATCGTTCTCAAGGGTGACGCTCACAGCTGCGATCGCCCGGACGCGAATACAGTCGTGGGACAGCGACGCCAGGAGATCAAGATTGGGCACTTCGTAATCCTTGGCGCGGTGACTGTTCCAACGCCAGAGACCGGCCGCAACCAGCGGGTACAGCCCGGCTGCGATCTGGACGACCCAGAGTCCGAGCGTACGATCCGCTGTCCAGTGCACCAGAAGCGTCACGAGACACAGTACGAGCGTCGTATAACACGACGTGCCAAATGAGAGTGCGCGGAGGTTGTTGGGAAAGTAGCCGACCCCAAGGCACTAGAACATTCATGAGACGAGCCAGCAAAAAAATAGTATCGTACGGGCTGGCATCGGAAATTGTAGTACAGAAGCGAGCCAAAGAGCACCAAGTTGATAGCGCTAAAGCCGAAAATGACGATCCACGCGTCAAACACCAAGAGCGCCTTCTCGATCGTGTAAAAGCCCAGTGCGCAAGCTACAAAATACCGTCGGACATGGACACGCACCAAGCGTAAAACCTGTTCGTGTGCACGTCATGAGCGCGTTAAACGCAGTTTGGAATCGAAAGCGCACGGCGTACACGTCGTCCGCCAGTCGTTTCTTGTACAAAAGCGTTCCTGCCCACATCAGGTTTTAGTCGCAGCGCCAGCTCAGCAGCAAAATTACCCCAGAAAAACGCGCTAAAGACCATGACGCCGAGACCAAAGAAGATCCAGTAGAGCGATGGGTCGGCACACGACTGCCCACCAAACGATACTGCGTCGAGGTCGTTGCTGCAGCCAGCGACGTCGATGATGGCATACATAAACGTCATAAAGACCGTGTCGTACAGAAACGGCGCGCCGATTTTGTCCCGCCACGGACGAAAGCGACGGGTAAAGCGTCCGCCGGGAAGACACTCGACAAACCCGAGCACGAGCGACAACGTGATGAACGTCGCAAGCCGCCACCTGCCATTGGCCTGGCCGTAGAATGTGTTGTCGTGGAGCTGGTACAGAAGCAGCTGAATGGCGCAGTAGCTAAAACCACCGAGCTCCGCCCACATGGCCCCAAGCATGAGGAGCCGCTTCGGGTCGCTCCGAAGCTTCCCAAAGATGATGCGCTTGCGACGAGCGACGACGACGCCGAGCGCTGTACAACGAATGAGTACGCAGTACTACAGTCACATGGCAGTCCGAACCTTGGGTCTGAATGTCGTGGAGCTCGTTCGCTGAGCGGCAAAAGTCGGCAAAAAGATGGTGCCGGCGATGCGCAGCGAGCGTGAGACTGATCACGAGGAGCCAGAGGACACTTGGGGACACGTGGTGGTAGGCACCGTAGCCACAGCAGGACCACGTCGTGACGGTAAGCGTCTTGCAGTTGAGAGGACAGGGACACGTCGGTTCACACTCGCCACTCGAGGCTTCACGCATGGTGCTCTGGACGCTTTGTCGCTAAATCGAGACGCAACGAAACAGCAATTTCACACCTCATGGATTTATTGAACCGCGATATTATTGGGACAGACAAATTGTAAAATGCATTAAGGCCCCTCAGCGCAGCGCGTCGATTCGATCGCGATCCGTGGTCGAGGTTTCCCGACCAGATCGCAGAGGTACCAGTACTCGGGTGTTGTTATGCGGCTCTCCATGTACGAGAGCAAGTCACTTCGCGTGCTCACGAGCACGAGAATCGACGCCACAATCGACTGCGTCGGTGGCGCGAGCGCTGCAAGTGGTAGCTGCGTCGAAAAGCCTTCGGCGATTACCGTGTTGACAGCGGCCCACACATCCATGCGTGCACGCTGGCGGTCTTTGATGACCTTGAGCTGCGAAAGACTCAGAAGCGCATGCGACGAGTCCGACAGCCGCGTGATGGCCGTCGGTATGACGCGCGTCTTGGAGAGCTGACGTAATACGCGCGGTGGCCTGGATGGACGGGTGTCCCAGACATCTTGCATCGTCGTCAAGAGGTCGTCGATGAGCGCCTGCGTGGCGCCGGACGTCAAGTCGAGAAACAGCTCGAGTAATGTAGTGACCATGGCCCGATCCAAGTACGTTTCAGCACTCGGCGCGGTGGTGCCGAGGCTTGAAAGCGTCTCGAGACGATCAATCAGAAACGTTAGCAGCGTCGCAACAAAGTCTGCGTCATCAACGTGCATGACCAGCGCGTCGATGAGGACACGCAGCGTCACGGTGTCGGCAAATTGATGGGCCGTCCAGATCGCGTCGCGTTCGTTTGCAAATCGTACGAGGGTCCGAAGCGCCGACATGGCTTTGGCATGGGTCGGGGTGATCGTGAGGGTTGTAGTCATGTGCAGAAAGGTGGTTGCACTCACGAGCACGACGCTCGCTTGGTACATTTCCTGGAGCACTTTGCTTGCGAGCAGCCGGTTGCGTCGGCAATGGCTCTTGCAAAGCTCCGCGAGCTTTGTCACAGCATGCTCAAAGCAAGGTCGAATCGCTGGGTCGTCCGCGATCCGAGTTGTCATGCACACGGTGTGGTTGAGGTCCGTTGCCTTCTCGACGAGCTGAACAAGGGACGAATTGTCGACCGCCAAAAGACGATTTCTCGACCGTCGGCTCAAATCGGCGGGCGCGACTAGAAAAGTAGTGGAACCGCTCGGACGGCCAGCAGTAACACTGAGCCGCCCGGATGCTGACCGCGCCGCCAGTACCTGTGAGAGACTGATGCGAAAAGCGCTGCTACTAGTGCCCACAGCACTGGTCCGAGCCGGCGACAAGCGCACCCAGCACCCAAACGGCATATACGTGGCAGCACCAGCCTCTGAGACGCGGTCGCTCAGATCAAAATTCGAGTACCAGAGAAACCACATGGCTTGGCACGCATACACCGGTGCAAAAACCGCCTCGGATCGCCATAAACTGCCATCCAGCGCCAGTAGAATAGCGCGAACTGTGTCGGCGTCGCGATCCGTGGTCTCGAGTGTGACGGTCACCGCCGCGATAGCGCGGACGCGGTCAGCCTCGTGCTGTAGCGCATCAAGGAGGCTCAGATTGGGCACTTGAAAAAGAACTGCGCGGCGACCGTTCCAGCGCCACACGGTGACTGCAAACACCGGGTAGAGTCCGGTGGCGACAAAGAAGACAATCCACTCGGATGTACCAGCCACTGCATGATGTCGAGAGATTTGCAGCATTGAAATCATAAGGAGCACAAGTGTCGTGTAGCACGACGTAGCGAACGACAGTGCACGCAAGTTGTTGGGCACGAGTCCGACGCCCAAGCACTAGCGATGACCAGAATAGGACGTCAAAAAGGTTAAAGTTGGAAGCATGGGTCAATAATAAAGAGGGTGTATCACGACCCGTATTTAATTAAAAAATTACGGCAGAGCGCCCAGCGAAGTCCAATACAAATGCCTGAGGAAGCGCAAGCGCCGAATGCCTCATCCGGATAATGATTATTTGGAGAATTTTCATTAAAATGGACTGGGCGCCGCGGATCGCTGCATGGGTCTACGTGCGTATAGCACTTGGAACATAGCTTTTTACGGCGCACGAAGATAGATTATGCATGAACAAGCACTTACCGTATCGATAAGGCTTCTAAACGCGCGAAATGAGTTACTACATGCTACGTATGTCAGCAAATAGTGCCAAGTTGACCTGGCCTCGGATACACAAACATAAATATGAGGGTGACCGAGAGTCCGTCCCAAAACGAGACTTTGCACGCACTTCTAACACATCGTCGTGGATGTGTGTGCGAAGTTTCGTTCCCAACAGAGCTCCCACACACCCCCATTTACGTTGCCAAAGACAACAAATACTATGATTTTGGACAAAATGGACTCGTAAACATGAGAATGGGGGTGACCGAGAGTCCGTCCCAAAACGAGACTTTGCACGCACTTTTAACACATAGTCGTGGATGTGTGTGCGAAGTTTCGTTCCCAACAGAGCTCCCACACACCCCCATTTTCATCGCTACGACAAATTCTGGATGCGTGTATTTAGTCAACATATCAGTGATTGTCAGGCCTTGTGAGCGCTGGCTGTCGAAAGCTATTCTTGTATATTACAGTGTTTTCGTTTTTGATACAGTGGATACCAAAATCCTGTGTGGAGCCGGTTTCCTCACCGAACCCAACAAATGTATTGGGCAAACAACTGGAGCCTCAGCCGCAGGATTCGCCGATTTTTGTATGGCGTGATACACCCTCTTTATTATTGACCCATGTTGGAAGAGACGTACCGGCTGGCACTTGTAGTTGTAGCGAAGCAGCGCGCCAAAATGAACCATATTCAAAAGTCCAAAGAGCATTGCGACGAGCCACATGTCGAGACTGAGCAGCGCCTTCTCGACGGTAACGACGGTCAAGGCGCAGACTACCCAAC